TTAATCCTGCATTGTCACCGATTTGGAAAATTCCTCTTCGTTCCTTCGGATCTAATCTGCTAGGAAATCGATTTGGATCAATTTTTAACTTCTTAAAGCTTATGAAAAAAGTCATTATTTATTGGTATCCAAGCCAATTAAGGAAAATTATTATAATTTTACAGAAAATCCAGACGGAAGGTTACGGAAAAGCTAAAGAAAGAATCATCAAAAATGAAGGAAGAATTGGAAAGGACGCGGATGGAGAAGGAAGAGCTTTGCCGAACCTTGGCGACTATGGGTCATGACGATGACGAATTCTGCGAAGCAAGATCGAGCACAATGCGTGAGGAACAGATAAGCGGGAACGAGTTACTGCTCATGACGATGAATAACATGTCGCTGAGTAGTCTCAATATCCCTGAGTGCACACCAGCAGCAGGCGAAGCGGATCTCAACAAACGAGCATACGATCACTGGAAAAACGTTCTGAGCGCATCAACGAACCTCATCCACGTTGTCGATGAATCAACCAGGATTGATCTGTTTCGTATCAAAACGGGACCTCTGCTACTCGATTTGCTTGACGGTACTTTGACGCAGCCAGGAATGCCGGATGAAAAACAGCTAGCATATTCGAACGCAATTGCAAGACTGGACACTTTCTTTGGCTCTAGAGCATACATTTTGTCGCAACGTAGTAAGCTGTCGAATATGGTACAAAGAAGCGGCGAGTCGAACATTGAATACGTGAAAAGGGTTGCAGCAGCTTCAAAGCTATGTAACTACAAATCGGAAGAGAAATTTGAAGCCATTTCTCGAACGGTGACCAGAGGATCGACAGACAGCCGTATCAGAACCCTACCGTATGCGTGATAATGTTTGCACCATCGTACAAATAAGGTTCCCGTTTCACCTGTGCATACAATGCCTTGGTTTTCTTTGCATGCACGTGACCTATAGCTCATACCGTAGTAGGCTGTGTATAAAAGAAAATGATTTACTTAGTTTGACAGTTGCACCATGACGAAGTGGCAGCGTATTCGTGATTTGTCCCACGCGCAAATGTCGCAAAAAGATATTTCAATCGCCGTGGGAGTGTCCCGGAGGACCGTCAAAAGGGGTTTAGACCGAGAAAAGAAAGGACAACTATCCACAGGTCGTCCGAGGGTTATCGCTGCTATCAAAATGAAGATTCGGGTGGATCCAGTGCGTTCAATAAGGTAAATTACAAAGGAACACGGGATCAGTGACTTTACGGCACGGAAGATCGTAAAGAAAGATTGCGGGGCGAAGTCGAGGGCACGGAAAAAAAACTCACATGATTACCAACCGCATCTGGGAGCTACGAGTCGAACGATGCAAGAAAATTTTGACATTGCTCAATGGTGCAAACATTATCACGCATACGGTAGCTTACCGGGTTCTTACCGATGGAGGAAGTCTCAATGATTTGATTGACCAAGTACGCATCCGTGAAGTGGAAGTCGAGAATGAGGACTAGTACCGCAGACTACACCAGCATGGTGGCAGCAGTATCTCGTCAGCCAACCGATTATAGCCAACGTCACCGCGGTCAGTTCCAGCCTTTCAGAGGATACAGCAATAGTCGTGGTAGAGGAACTTTCGGTCGCGGTCCAGTAAGAAACCAGAGACAAACTGAATCGTGCAGGAGATGCTTAAGAGCGTACCACTCTTCTGAAGATTGCTTCCACGTTGACAAAGTGTGCCGCAATTGTGACCGCCGCGGTCACATTGCACGATTAAAGGTGAAGCAGGAGCCCCAGAAACGACGCTGGATGGGAGAAGAAACTGAGCCTCCGATGAAGATTTTGGCTGTCCAGAAGATTGAAGATGACATGGAGCAAAAGAAGCTATCAGAAATCATCCTTGTTTCGTTACTACTACAGCTTGTTAATTGAAATATCAAATTAATCGAAATACACAATAAATATTGAATTGAATTGAATTCGGATTGAATTTTGCTTTAATATGATGAAACTGTTACATGTAGCACAATCTTCTTCAACTGATCTAAACGGGGCAGATATTGACAGAGTTGGGTCTAATATGCCATATTATAAAACAGTGTAAGTTGTGGGATAAGTCGCTGGTATCAAGGTTCCATTTTTGATTGATTCTGGTGCACAGGTCGGTCTACAAAATTACATATGAATCGTTTCAAGCTATTAATTTTTCAAGATGGAACTACCAATCAAAAATTGTACGATCTAAGCTACGAATCAGATAAGGTGCTTCGAGCATACGCGTGTCAAGGAAATATATATATATATATATATATATGTTGTTGCTACTTTTTCCGCCGAGTTCTTCGTGTCGGAAGAAAGACCTTTGAGAATTAAAAAGTTTTACGTGGTGCGCGAATCTCGAGCTCTTCTTGGATTCAATACTGCAGTCCGATACAGTTTGCTGGCAGTTGGCCTTGAAGTAACGGTAAAAGGAGGTACAGACCCAGATTGGCGATGTGAATTTTCCATAAACAGCATACAAGACACCCATACTCAAGAATTTCCGAAATTCAACATACCAGCGGTTACATTGAGCTACGATAGCACTATGCCACCTTCTAGAATTATCTACACGCACATTCCGGCAGCATTCAAAGAGTTAACGAGACAAAAGTTGGCTGAACTACGAGAATCCGGCATCATTGAAAAAGCCACAATGAATATGGACATGACCTTTTGCTCTTCATTGTTAGTAATCCCGAAAGGAAAATCGGATATTCGACTCGTCGTCGATCTACGTGGCCCTAACAAATGTATCCACAGAACGCCTTTTAAGATGTCATCATTTGAGTCAATATTGTTGGAGTTGCACGATTGACTTAACAAAAGCATTTTTTCATATCGTACTCGATGAGAAATCAAGGCACCTCACGAACTTATTTGCTGGCGAGATTACACACTGTACAGATGCTGTCGTTTGCTGTTTGGACTAACCAATGCTCCAGATATATTTCAGAAAGCAATGCAAACTATGATTCTTTCGGAATATTGGATGATATATTGGTGTCCGGGAAAACGAAAGAATCGTGTTCCGAAACCTCCAAAAAGTATTAAAGAGACTCGAGGACCATAATGTGAAAATAAACCACGAAAAATTTAATTATGGACAGCAAGAAGTCGAGTTTCTGGGATTCAAACTCTCAGATGTGGGTTGGCAGGTGGAGAACGAGAAAATCGTCGCAAGTCATCAGCAGAAGTGAAAAGCTTCCTAGGATTGATAACATTCGTTGAACGGTTCATTCCGCTGAGAGCGGAGAAAACTCATCATTTGCGAGAACTAGTCATGAGCTGGAGCACGAGTTCAACCACTTGAAGACTAGTGCGTGGAAACATCAAGATTTTGGGATATTTTAACTGTAATGACGAAACGGAGTTGTTCGTGGACGCCTAACCGCATGGGCTAGGAGCAGTTTTGGTCCAGTATTTTTTTTTCTTTATTAAAGAGATTTTTAGCCATAGGCTAGTTCATCTCTTAAAAGGGTCCAGTATTATGCTGATTCCAGTTACGACAGGTATCATCTGGAAGTACGATAAAATTTGGACGTGGATTGTTGCAGACTGGCGAGAGTGAAACGTAAGAAGAAAAATATAAAGATTATTTCAAATATTGACCATGAAGTACTCCACAGAACATGCTTATACTATTTTAAAACTGCGGATAATCCAGAATTCCGTGTGCGATCAAGGGCGCAACTGAGTTGAAGTTGCAAGCAGTGGCCTCAACAGCGACTTAGATTGTAGTCCCAGTGCGGTCAATATTTTGAACTAGCTATATAAGTGTAGTTACAGTAAACAAGTTTGAAAACAACGTAGATGTTTGCACAATAAATAAATTAATGTATGTTTTCAATGTGGTTTGATCTATTTTTTGAGGTTAATAAAACAAACAATTCGAATGTAGTTATTGAAATGTTTGTTTCAGTGGCGTTTCCTTAACCTCAATCTACCTGTGCACCAACTCTCAAAACATAAACAATTATCAAAATATTACTTGCAATGGATAGATATCGAGTAAACTAGAAGTGTATTTTTCAACCGATTCGAGTATGAATATGGCATTAAATCTGGTTTTGAAAGTTGGTGCACACGTAAAAAGTGAGGTTACGGGACACCACTGGGTTGTTTCATTTACCTAATTGGTATAATAATTTAAAAAAGAAAAAAAAAGCATTGAAATACGCATACACATTAACAATGAATTCCATAGTCATACGAATGAAATGTGAATTTTATACTCATACCGTATCATTTTCATACGATGCCTTTATGAACTATATATAAATCTATTGAAAAAAAAAACACAAATGATAACTGGGATGTGCTTTCGTATTGCTATCGTATGAAACTAGAACGAATAGTTTCTTCAATGTAGTTTAATATTTAAGCGCAAGTGAAAAAATCGATCCTTAGTTAGCCCGGTTAGATAGATCTTACATGGATAGTTGTTTGATAAAACTAATGCCTCATACACACTTAGAAATTATCGCCCACTTCGGTAATTCTTACCGAAATCTGAACAGCTGAACTTTTCGGTAACATTTATGCAATTCAATTCAATTCAATTGCTTTTCAGCTACTTTGAAACTAAATCTCCACTTAAATGACAAGATTTGATCATTTAAACAAGGTTGAACATGTTTTGACATTATTTTCAAATTCAATAGCCTTTAAAATGAAGGTCAAAGTTTTACCGAACAGCTGTTCTAATTTCGGTAAAATCTACCGAACACGGAAACAAAATCTTAGTGTGTAGTGTCAAAATCGAATCAAACTCCATCATGTTACGCTAGATACATTGTTAATCGATAGAATCACTCTAGCAAAACAATTACCTAACAAAGAAGCATCCAATGGCTTCCAACCCAACTCCACCGTGTTATCAAACTACACAAAGATTAGTAAAAAACATAAACAGAAACCTCAACAAAGCTTAGTAAATGATGATGTTGATCGAAACAAACAAATATCTACTAGAATGTTGTAGGTATTTACCAGATCGGCCGATGGAATCGGTCTATTTTCCTGCAAAGCTGCGATTTCACCGCAGGTCACCTACGTGGAAGCAACGCACACATAGAATGAAATAAAAAAGAGAGGAAAAAAAGGGCATGTATACCCACTGTGAAAGAGTGAAAGAGTGATTCACACCCACACGCACATGTACACACAGACGTACACCCAGACACACCCTGCAACGAAAATTGGTGCCAAAGCATTAGGTTACCTTCGGTGGATTGATGGCACGTCGGAAGTGATAGACTTCGTCCATTGTCACCATCTGGGAATGGGTGAACTTTTTCAGGACACCCGCCTTGCGAATATGCTTCTTCATTTCATCGTATATCGACTCACAGAGGTACACGTCCGACTCGGAGATTTCGGTGGGTCGCCCTGGAAGTGAGTTAAGGTAGGCATTACAGGGAGCGCCTATTGTAGGCAGGGCAAAGAAAGACACCTACTTGTCACATACTCGTACTGCTCCAGAACAGCACAACGTCCGACGATAGCAACCGTCGGGGTCGTTTCCTGAACGGTCGACAGCATTACCTCCTGACGGTAGAACAAACGACTGATAGTGCCTGGAACTTCTGGCGGAGTCAGCAGCCATGGTCCGCGGAAGAATGATTTGCCACTGAAAACAGAATCGTTAGATGCAAGAGCTGTAAGTATAGACCCCTGCACTTACTCTTTCGTTTCCCAAATCGACTGAATCTGCGCCACCGATTGTTTTCCCGTCTCGGTGGCGACGTACACATAATCACCCGTTTTAACGACCCCTCCGCAGACTGTATTGTACTGCTCGAAGAAGACACTGCCCTCTTCTCCGCCGTTGACGTAAACGACCACGTTGGGTTTATCCTTCTCCGCCAGTGCCTCCTGCATTTGCAGTTCGGAAAGTTCTTCCTTGTGCTTTTCGACACGTTCCTTAAACACCGACATGACTCGCTTCATTTCCAACGTGGATTCCCTTGGAATCAGCATTACCGGATCGGTAACCCGAATCATGTTCCAGGTTTTCAGTTTCTTGAAGCACCTCCGCTTAACGGTGTAATACGATTCGCAGACATATACGTCCTTATCGGCGAACCCTTCCGGACGCATCTTGAAGTATTCCTTTACATGCATTACGAAGCACTTGTTCTGGGCTTGCGATAAGGGAACGGCCTGATGTTGGTCGCTTCGGAACACCTCCTTCTCCATGAATCTCCGCGTTTGTACGTGGTAGGTTTCGAACGGACGCAACAACATACTGCCGTACATCATCTTCACATTGTCGCTGTTGGTCCACAGACGTTCGATGTACATAATGCCGGGGACTGGAAATGAGGTAAATTGAATAAATTTGAGTTCTAAATGAAAATTAATCACCGCGCCCTTACTCTTATTCTCCGGAACATCAATATAAACGAAATCACCCGGGGAAAATACCTTCTGATCGATGGTCATACTTTCGCCTTGCGATGCTTGCTGTGACGGAAAAGCGGAAAATCAATTAGTAAAAAAGTAAAAAAGGTATGCCGAAACCCGGGATTGAACCGGGGACATTTAGATCTTCAGTCTAACGCTCTCCCAACTGAGCTATTTCGGCCGATGGAAAATTGCCATCGCATGCTACACTTAAAGCTAACCATTTGACATGACGACAATGATTGTATGGAAAGTTCCACTAGTGGGAGCTTTCGTGAAACTGCTTTACCAACCACGGCGATAGGGCTATCAGTATCACTTTCAGCTGAACACTAAGTAAGCACGAGTTGGAAGCACATGTCAGTAAATTGAAAAATCGACTTATTTGTAAGTAATACCGTAATGCAATGAATATCGGATGGTTCGTTAATCCGAACCTTTAATTTATTATCAAATATTACGTCTACTTTGCAACATTATAAATTATGTGTGATGATTCTGAACGATACTAAAACACCATGATAAAATTTACAAAGTACCTACACTCAATTCTGTTTTATGCGATTATAATTTTAACGATTGTGTCCTCAATTAGGGTGAGTACCAATATTTCAATACCACAATAATTTCCAATAGTTTTTTGAAACAAGTTGCACCCAATTTGGATACAATTTGAGATCACACGATCAAAATACGGACGAAAATAAATCACGTAAATGCAGAATTGAGTGTATTTTATATTGGCAGCAATATTCAACTTTTATAAGTGTCCTGATTTGTGTCTGGATTTCGAACTTTTACGGTAACAGTAACAGTAGTAGTAGTAGAACAGTAATGTAAAACTACACTACTAATGATTTCGAGCTCTAAAAAACACAATTTTTTAAATTTTATGATCAGTTCCAAACCACACCGAGAAGCGTTGTTCACAGTATCGTCACACAGTGTGCAAAATGTCAGTTAACATGCGAAACTTAAAGATTTTCTACTGGAGCATATAGAATTTTCTGGAATACCCTACAGCACCGAAATCCGTAAGCCTCATACAAAAAGTAGGTTTTGTATGAAATGTACGGATTTTGATTAATCTATTAGGTGTCCGGATTTTGGACAACTACAGTATACCTAGATTCGATTTTACTAATATACAGGATGAATCAATACATACCGTAGTGTCCGTTTCGGAGTCGGATTCCTCCTCGAGCAGTTTGGTTTGCCTCAGTGCTTCAACGGCCGCCATCAGGTGCATTGCATTGTAGCTGAGGGCAGGCGACTCTAGCACGTTTCCGTTTCTGCACAGCTCGTCCCGTTTCTTGATGAAAAACGACTGCAGTTCGATCGAGTCCTCAAAAACCTGTGAATCCGTTCGGCTCAGCTTGCGTGCCCTTTCCAGGCAGGAAAAGATATCCTCCTGGAATAGATCCAGTCGCTTGTAGAGTCCTTTGTCCAACCGCCGCTTGATCAAATCCAACGAAATTCCTCGAACCCTGTAATTCAAACTGTTTAGAACACCTGTCAAGCAGCTAAGCTCTATATTCGCCGTACTTGCTTCCATCGGGACTCTCGTCGTGTTCTGGCAGTTCCGCCAACGAGTCCGAGTAGCACCTTCCCTCCTCGTCCTGATAGTTGTACACGGTGGTAAACAAGTAAACCAACAGTTCCTGAACCGCCTGAGGCACATCCGGTACGGTTTCGTCACTCCGCAGTGCCTGTTTGGTTTGAATTATCAACTGCTGCAGGCACAGAGCGTCCTTGTAGATCTGCGAATCGGGTTCATTGTACTTGCATGCATTCTCGAACATCAGCATAAAATCCCCAGCCATATCATCGACGCTTTCGTAGTTCTGCTTGCGCAGCTTTAGCTCGATCCTATCCAGATCAATAGGGTTCTTGATGATGTCGTAATAGTCGGGGTATTCCTGAAATTGCAAGGTGGATCCCGGTTGATTGAAAGCGAAACACGAGTTTGCATGAACATAAACAAGAAGACGAAGCAAAAAATTTCCCATACCGGGAATCGAACCCGGGCCTTCTGGGTGAAAGCCAGATATCCTAGCCACTAGACCATATGGGAAGGCGATAGAAGAGCGATATAATGCTATATTTGAATAAGGAACGTGTCTGCCAAAAGCTTTACGTTTAGTAGCTACACGGTCGATAAGAAAAAAAATGCTAAAATGCAGGGGAAATGTCCTATTATTGTCGGGGGGTAAACAAAGCCCTATAGCACTCAAATTTGACCAATAGATGCTCTGAAACACAATGTCAGTGCTAACATTTGAAAACGGCACAAAAGCCATTTGTAAACAAATGGTTTGTGGGGCCTTTACTCACTACTTGAAGTACACCCACGCGACACAACAGCAACATCGGGTAGGGGAAATTTTCCCCTTCCTGACGATGCTGTTGGTTTGCGTGGGCGTTCTTCGGGTAGCGAGTAAAGGGCCCACAAACCATTTGTTTACAAATGGCTTTTGCGCCGTTTTCAAATGTTAGCACTGATGTATCCCCATGCCAAAATTGAACTCTCAAGGACGTTGTTTATCCCCCTAACGGATATATAATAAGCTATTGCCGAAGCCGTCATTTACCCTAGGTCAATTAGAGAATAAATAACATTTTACGAGCTTTTCCAGGAACAAAATTCTCGATATGAGGATAATTTTGAGAGGTTTCACTCAGTCTATTAGTATACTCCTAGACTAAGTAAAGTTTTCGTCGTTTTTTTTGTTATATTTGAGAAGCTTATTCTGGAAAAGCTTGACACATTTTACTCATTCAATGAGTGACCAACATGGCCAATCAGAACGACTCAGCAGCATTTTCTTTCCATACGAAATTTACTTATATTTGGGAAAACCTGCTGTTACTCATTAGCTATGAGTTACTACAGGTTTCCCAAATATGAATAAATTTCGTATGAAAAAATAATGCTCTGAGTCAATTGAATTCAGCCGCTGAGTCGTTCTGATTAACCGTGTACGTTTTTGCAAATTTGAGTGAACGATACTCAAATATGAGTAGCATTCATTTGCCGTGAACACTGCCGCAGCTTTTCACCCGATACACAAACCATAACCCTACACTATCGACACAGAGAAACACAGCCGATGAAAATTTACCATTCATGATCCAAACTAAACCATTTTTAGATTTTGACCAACGATTACAATTTAGATCCGCACTTTTTCCGAAACAAATTAAATTTCAACCATCTATGATTAATTTTGCAACGGCCATGAAGCAGCAAGAATGATAGAAAAGATTTTACACCAAGAAATTACCTTGTTCTTTCCCAATGTCCATCCAACACACATCAACCAGAGCAAAAATTTGGACAAGTTGAGGTGGTGTGCAACGGAACCGGACATGGAAAGAGTGAAAAGAAAAAAAATAACGAGACCAAAATTCCAATATTCCTCCAAGATGGGTACCAAGTAGAATTCGGGAAAAAAAAATATTCAGGTGCACACTTACATTCTTTGACGGTAGTTTCATAAAGATGAACGACAGCTGCCGGTTCGCTTTCGGTTCCCGGTACTCGCGGATGGTGTCATACAGGTGCTTCAGCTTCGATTCCAACGTGTTAAGCTTGTTCTTCGCCTTGGACCTGAAATTCCAAGAGTTTAATAATTTTTCGCCCAACGCGCACTCCCACTAGCGGAGCCTTACACTTTCGGTGTACTGAACCGTTTGCTGATGCTGGAAAATTCCTTAAGCTTCTCGTTGAGTGCCTTCTCCAGGATGTTGGCATCGTCATAGATCATCGAACCCTCCTCGTTGTACTTCCGGCAGTTGGAGAACATCAACCGGTAATCACCGACGATGTCGTCCAGCGTAGTGTAACGATCGCTCTTGATGTAATTTTCGATGGTGGTCATGTCGATGGGATGCTGAATGATTTGATAGTAATCCGGGTACAGCTTCTTCGAAGGCTTCTCAATAAACAGTCCCATTGGTTGGCGCCCATTGACCGTATATTCCAGCATGTAGTTGTGCAACGAGATGAGTTTCTTCTTTAGCATACCGACATGCGGTTGACGATTGCTGGATTTAGCCACTGGGGTGCTAGTCGCCGAATGTGGCGGAGATTGAACAATGGCAAGCGAAGAACGCGGTCTAGGTGTCTTCTTTTGTGCACTTTTCTTCGCTGGCGTAGTAGCGGCGAGGGATGATGAATCGGTGTCGTTTTCGTCTTCGCTATCATCGAGATCTCCCGAATCTACTAGCTTCTGGTTGAGCAGTTTCTGCATCTTGACGGCGTCCTACAAATATGAGCTTAATTATTAAAACTCCTAGATAATGACGGCAAATTGATTTGCTCACCTTGTAGATCTTACTGCTCTGCGGGTTCGACTTCTTGGCATTATCCAACATCACGTACAGGTCGGCACTCATGTCGGTCACGTTTGCGTACAGTCCCTTCTTGAGTTTGTTCCGGATCTGACCCATCGAGATGGGTTTCTTGGTTGTGGCGTAGTACTCCGGATGGAACCGACGGTTTGGAAGCTTCCACAGCGTTTCTCCTAGCGGTGCGCCTACAGCATTGGGATCTATAAGTCGTTTGTTTTTCAAGGACAAGGATGGGAGGAAGGGAACAACCAAACAAACAAACCGTCGATAGGGGGATGAATCGAAATCATTAATCACATGACGTAGGGGTTGGAATGATCCAAGGGTTGTAGGGTGCAAACGAAAAAAAAAAAAAAACAAAACAGAACCAAAACGTTAACCAAGGTTAATAACTTAATGAAGAAAGCTACAAAAAGGTTAATCAAACCACACATTACCATTGGTATTTGCCGTGTTGTACAGTTGATCGAACAGCTGCCACAATGGCCCTTCACCTTCGGTATCCATAGAATCATCCAGCTCGTCATCGGAACTCTCCGCTTCCTCCTTCAGGGCAGCCACCATGGCACTCAAACTGGTACCCGTTCGGGCCTTCCTATTGGCACTCTTCCGGTAGCGTCCGGCTTCAATCTCCACCTTTCGATTCATAAAAATCCTCTTCAAGTTCTTCGCATCCTTGTAGATCTGCGATCCCGGTTCATTGAAAGTGCAAGCATTCTTGATCATCTGCAGCAAATCCTTCTCCATGTCGTTCAGAATCGAATAGGCATTCGTCTGAATCTTAACCGCAATGCACTTCAAATCGATCGGATGATCAATGACGTCGTAATAATCCGGATACAATTTCTTCGAAGGAAGCAACTGAAACATTCGGTGCAATTCCCTATTCTCATCCGTTGCCGTCATGACCGCATTGAACAGTTCTTCGTACGGATCTAGATCATCTCCATCCGTATCATCATCCCTCGCCATTGACTTCCTAGGTCTGGTTATCTTCCTCGGTTTGACCTCCCCGCCGTCCTGTTCCATACCTTCCATCAACTTGTGCTTGTTCGCATTGAAAACGTCCATTAGCTGGCAAGCATCCTGATATTCCGGTGAATCCGGCTTGTAGAAAGCCTTGGCATTCTTCACAATCAGATCGATATCCGTCGTCAGATCGTCAACGTCTTCGTACGCTTCGGTTTTCAACTTTTGCTGAACCTTCAACAGGTCAATCGGATTGGCAACCACTTCGTAGTAGGACGGTTCCTGTCGGCGCTTTGGAGCACGGATAAAGGTATCGCACAAGGTGGTACCATCCTCTTTCTTGAACGTGCGAAGTGACTCGTACAGATGCTGACAAACTTCCGCCTAAAATAAATTTCCTTAGTGGTAATTAAAAGTTCTATTGAAATTTAGTTACAACCAACCGGATCCAGTTTCTTCTTCTTTCTTGCTCCGGTTGGCGCTGGGGACTGCTCCGGCAGGCTATCATCTTCAGTATCGTCGTCATCCAAAATGGAACTGCTTCGCCTTCGTTTGCTCATATTGGAAACTAAAAAGAAAAAAATATGCCACCCCTAAAGCATTGTTTTCTTCGCTAATCCTCAACCCTGCCCAGAGTGAGCATCGCGAAATTTATATTTACAATTTTCGCACAAAATCCGTCACCTACCGGTAAAACTTGACTTTCTCCTGATGCTACTCACTTAGCGGAACACTTTAACACTATTTTAACCAGGAAAGTAGAACTTTTAACAACGAAATTATTCACTTTAACGGCACCGCACGCGAATTTTGCGACCAAATTGAAAACAAGATGTCAGACAAAAGCGTCTGGCTTCTGGGTTGGGCGGCGAAAGATGGTAATGAAAACAAAACAAGGCGATGACAGTTGAGGCGGAATGTACGCGGCGGCTAATTAGGAATAGTTTTAATATTCAATAGGCCAGGTGGCGCTAGTTAGATGGCGGCATATTTTTGCTGAAGGCTGGCATGCAGTGAACGAATGAGTAAGTCGTAAGTTCCCAGCAACCACTGAACCGAATTGGACGAAACAACATCCAAATGGAAGGTATTGTGGTTATATAGATCTTTATTAAATATTTTTGGAATCGGTCACCTAAGTAAGTGAATCGTGTTAAACCCATCATGCACGGAAACGAATTTTGTTCATTTAAATCAAAAAGATAAATATTCATTCAATAAACATATGCATAATTCGAAGTAAATTAAAAACTTGTTTTCGACAAAAATATTTATGTTTGAAGTAAGTGATTTCCGTAAAGAATTTTCCCAGAGATGGCGCTGTTTCCTTGCTATAGGCATCGTTGAAATTCAGTATACCATCTATGGGAGAAGAGAAAAAAATATTTCCAATAATAGCATGCAGTCTTCATAGACATAACTACACGGATAGAAATCTCCTTATACCTTTTGGCAAATTTCTATTACTGATTATCCATCAAATGTATAAGTCAACTAATAAGCAGACACCTTGCAAAAAGTTAATGAAAATCATGTATCAAATGAAATGTATAAGCGGTCACACATACCTTTAATGCATTCTTATAGGACCTATGTGGTTTGTCTTATGGAATGTATAAGGCTGATGTTTTGGCAAAAATGTATAAGTAAAACACATGAATAAAGTAATTGATTTTCGTTTCGTGTAGGATGTTGGGCTAAGAGGGCCATGGCCCTAGCTGACAAGACATAAACCATAAACCATTGGAAGGGATTGACAAAATGTGTTCACTTCTGCGGTGGAAACTAACGATTTTAAATTGGCTCACTACTTGACTAGCCTATTGACCCCAAGCAAATCGATTAACCTACCCCATTCTATTCTAAATTCTAGTAATACACTATGTTTGTTCTGATTCGATTCAGATAAATTTAGGGGTTCGTGGATTTTCCTATGTTTCGAGGGGTGCATCGATTAGCTTGGGACCGATGAGAGTACCAGAGCTGAGCCAAAAAGTTGAGCACGTTTCTTCGGGACCTTCTAGTCTTAGAGTTACCTCTATAAAACTACAAGTGGCGAAAAATTACACTCTTTCAGATTTTTAAGCTGAGATTTAACAGAAGTTCAGGGACCTTGATGGAAATCAATAAATAATCCTAGAAGCTCTGACTTATAACCCGAATAGAAATTGTAATGTAGGAAACATCAGCAGACATCTTCAATACATTACATTTTAACGTGTATTGCTGTACCCTTAATGTATTCAGACTTCAGTGTGACGTGCAAGTACATAAAAATACATTAGCCTCAAACGTTACATCAGAATCAAACGTCTTGACGATGTAAAATTTGACATCAGAATACATCCAATGACAACAGAACCAAACGTTACATTAAAATCAAACTTCATCACGATGTAATTTGTTGCATGGATAAAACATCAAAATACATCCAATGACAACAGAACCTAGCGTTACATTAGAATCAAACTTCATCACGATGTAATTTGTTCCACGCATAAAACCTCAGAATACATCCAATGACAACAGAACCTAACGTTACATTAAGCGCCCATTACATATGTAAATATATTGACAAACATCGTATTGTTAATTTTCCTTACAATATAATCAATATATAAATATTGACAACATTAATGACAATACACTAAAGCGTTTGTTACACAGGTCAATATATTGACAATAAATTGACATACTGACAATATTATTGAAAGATAATATTGATGACGATGGTTTGATGACGAGTATTGTTGAAAACTGATTTTCATTTCACTTTCTCAATATTCTTCCCCTACCCAAGAGGAGGGAGAACGTACGTCATTTAGACCGACTGACCCACAATGCACCTTCACGCATGCAGTGTTGGCATTTTGTTTAAATCTTCGTGTGTGATATAAAATGGATATCAAACTAAATAAAAAAGTATCCTTTTACAGTCGCCAATCACTACCCAGGCTTCGTCTATATCGATGTTCATTTTCTACAAAATCACAAGCATAATCATGTAATTTTGTTTTTTTTACTTTAAAATAAAATAAATACTATCTGCGTTTCACATGCCTACACGTAACGCAAATTCAATAATATATGCAAGTTTTTCCTTTAGGAATGTTTACCAAAACATCAGCATAATAGTTTATTTATGGGAAACTGCATACCATGAACGTGGGTTATTCATCACGAGTGGTAATTCCACGCAGTCGACAATCGATTTGATTCAATTCCATTAATTTGTTATCATATTGCCCTGTGTATTTTCTGTGTCCTGTCAAAAAGTTACAACATTTGATATTGGCGTTGACGGAACCGTCGAGAAAACATCTCTTCTAACAAACATTGACAGTTTCTTATTGGAACTTTCAGTGGAGTGAAAGGATAGTACCAACTAGAAATACTCAGAGGGTCTGATAGGCGGAGAAAACAAAATACAATACGGCAGCAAGGATTTGTTCCTAAATTATCTTGCAACCCTTGCTAGAAGCTAGCATTTCAAATGACTTTTATTTTTGATTCGATTTACATGCAAAATAATAATTCGCCTTGACACCAGTGATTTTTGACAGCTCATATGTGTGAAGCGTGACGTAAACAAACCGCGCATAAAGTAATAAGTTTTTGGCAGAGTTTTTGAAATTTGTTGAACTTTTATTGAGATAAATGGTAAGTATTCTGTGTTAGAGTAACATCTCTAGATGATGTTTTGTTAATCGGCATCAAAGTTTGTGTATTGCTTTTGCTTTATTTTTCCATTTTTCCAAGTGATGTTTTCTGAAATAAACAAAAATGCTCAACGTTTTTCACAAATTTATGAATAAAAATATCTGTACTTGATTGAAAATACGGTTTCAAAGTATTGCTAGAAGATGTGTTCTTAACATATTAGTGGAATTCACTTCGACAAGTTTATTCCAGTCAAGTAAAATAATGATTTTAAAACAACATTTTTAGGCTCTACCCGAGGCTCTACCTGACGATCTCCAGTCCGAAATTCGCGTACAAGTGCAGCTTTTTGATATGTTGCACTATGCTTCCGGAGGCAGCAGATTGATCGTCGAGGGAGAAAGAGTTTTCAAGGCTAATCATTTGCTGCTGGTAGGTGTTCAGACTGTGTACGACGATGGATTACAACTGTTTGCATCGTGCCTGAAGTCATCGTCGCCAAGCTCGGAGCCTCACAAAATCTACATTCGTACTAGATGCTCATTCGAAAATTGGACCTTCCAGTGCTCGTGCAAAGCTGGCTTAGGTAAATGCAAGCATGTAATGGCCGTTCTAAATCATCTATTAATGTAAGATAAAATATGTTACTATTCCAAACATTTATTAACAATTTTATGTTTGTAGGCATCCTTCCATCCCTATTCTGACTGTTACCGATTTGCAACAGAAGTGGGGAAAGGTAGCGTTGAAGGTGGCAGGCGATATGTACAAGGCCACAAGGATTAGTGAGTTTTGTCGTAAAACTCGAAACAGTTCTGGAAAGGAACCTGAAACCCCAGGAGATCCAAACGAAGTGCATCTCGAAATACAATTAAAAGAAAATGAAGCGGCCTCAATTTTGGATTCTTTTTTACAAAGTTTGTCAAATTATACAGCATAAAATTAAATTTTTCAATAGATACTTTTTATAGAGTTTCCTGATAGCAGTCTATGCTACGAACTAAATGGCAGACCTAGGCTTCAAGAGAATATTGAGAACTCGATTGGGGATGAAACTATGAACGTTAGTTTGTTAGATGAGTTCTTAGATCTTCAGGTTACCGATGCTTCGATGGAATCACTAATATCGTTTGAGGACTTATCTGAGAGTTCAATATTAACTAAATTTTTGAAGGCAACTTTCTGCAGTGAACGGCATACTCCAACCGACATTGAACATTTGTATTTTATTGGTCCATTGGATGCACACCTCAGCATCTTCTATGAGCTTCAAGTTCGTGTTTCAGAGAGTGAATCCATTCAAATTTGTTTGAATACAATAGATCAACGTATTTCCCCAGTTTGGATGACCGAAAGAACACGTCGGATTACAGCTTCTAACGCATATTCTCTGTATACGTACTATTCATCAAATACCGAAATGCTGAAGAATTGGAGAAAAAAGATTATCAACTTGGTTGTGCCAAAAGAAATACACACATTTGCCATTGATCATGGTATCCGTTGTGAACCATTGGCTATAAATGCTTACATGCGAGATTTTAAAAAGATTGTGACTAAATGTGGATTCACAATCCCACCACATATTCCCTGTCTTGGATGCTCCCCTGATGGGATTATAATCGATGAAACGAAGGTCATTGAGGTTAAATGTCCAGTGGTTGGAAATACCGTTTCTCTCAATGAAACATTAGAAAAATTGAAGTACTTAACAAAGAATGGCAAAACATTAAAGAAAAATCACCAATATTATTTGCAAGTGCAATTAAACATGTTCATATTGAAATGTAGCTCGGCGGATTTTATAATTTACTCTGAGTTTGAAGACAAGTGTTATGTTCAGACGATTCATTATGATGAAGAATATCTACAACCAATTATTTGTTGTCTTAAAGAAGTTTACTTCAATGCCTTCTTAAAAATATTGTATACGTCACATAATAAATCTCTTTGAGTACACTATATGTACATAGTTGTTATTTTATGAAAAGAGAAACAAAACAACCATTTTTTGAATATACTGAAACCTTTATTCAATACTTTTCTAAAATCTTTCATTTGACAGGATTGGCTTGGAAATATTAGCAACTGCACAAGCTTTTTTTTTTTTTTTTTAAATCTTTATTTTAGAGATTTTTAGCCTGAGGCTAGTTCATCTCTTAA